TCTCAGCACCCCGGCGTCGCCTGGTGTGTGTTACGGCAAGGCTTGTTGTCGCTGCTGTTCGTCGGTGCTCTCATATGAAGGCGTTTGTCTGTTTTATGTAAGATTGCCAGATCAAGGCTGAGGAAAACGCAAAGTTATTTGTATCATTTGAATGTGTAGAACGTGCTTAACTAGTGTGTGTGTGTTAACGACAATGTTAAAAGGAACAATTTAAGAAGAAATTGTGTTCAAAGAAAGAAGCGTTAAAACAAACACAGCACAAAAGCGGCTTACACGGGAGAGGTCCAGCCCTCAGTAAATACCATGTCATAGTGAGGTGAATGTGAAGTGTAAGATTTGTTGCTGGTGACCGTGCCAGATAGGGTCATCGGGCATCACCACAGACATTACATATGGAGGAGGGGAGGTCACCACCCTCCACGACCCACGCCCACGGGCTGGTCAGTGACGGCGATGAGGCCTCGGCGAACATCTCCAACCACGCCCACAGCCTGCTGGTCGTGGAGGGGGAGGGCTTACCTGTGATCGCAGGACTCATTCACGAATCGGAGAGAGAAGACACCGAATCACCAAATCTGGATAGCTTGCTGTCTTTATTGAGACATGAGATCGAGTCTCCAGCCACAGAGTTCATTGGCATTCTGGAGACTGGACTGGGTCAAGAGAGAGCCTCACCAAGTTCCGATAGTTTAGAGGTTCAGGTGGAGCAAGGGGAGAGAGAGTCACCCACATTCGATAGTTTGGAAAGTATAATGAGCGACAGAGAAAGAGAACTGCCATATCCTGCAGTTTCAAGGCTGTCGTGTCGAATAGGGGAAACGAAGTCAGCGAGTTCCGACAGCCTTGAGGAGGTTGCAGGAGTCAAGGGCAACACTTCAGATGAAAGCTTCGACAGCCTTGACAGTGTCACAAGGAAAAGAAAGGGCATAGCGACGAGTTTCGACAGTCTGGATGGCTTCGCAAGGGGAAGTGCAAAGGAATCACAAAGTTCCGATAGTTTGGAAAATTTAATGGAAGACACAGGTGAATGTTCACGAAGAAGAAATGGCGAGGGGGACAAGAAGGGATCTCAAACTTTCATCAGCGAAATGAAAGTGGCTTACACTTTCAAGAAGGGGAAGCGGTCAGGAGAGTGGAAAATCCCAAAATCCTTTAGCAGTAGTGCGACGGAAAGTGCTGCTACAAAAGGGGATTCGTGTGACGCCAAAACACCTTCGGGAATAACTACGAGAACTCAGATCATCGATATCCATGTGTCAAGTGAAGGTGAGTCTCCGGGTTCTGACAGTCACACCACTATTGGAGGAGGGTCGTCAAAGTCTGACACCTACACTGCAATTCAGGAGTCTCCCGCTTTCGGTAGCCTCACGACTGTTGGAGGAGAGACTGGAAGTCATGACAGCTCAACGTCCATTGGAGGAGAGACTAAAAGTCATGACAGTTACTCATCTACTGGACGAAAGACTGAAAGTCATGACAGTTACTCATCTGCTGGAGGAGGGACTAAAAGCCATGACAGTTATTCATCTGCTGGAGGAGAGACGAAAAGTCATGGCAGTTACTCATCTGCAGGAGGAGAGACTAAAAGTCATGACAGTTACTCATCTGCTGGAGGAGACACTAAAAGTCATGACAGTTACTCATCTGCTGGAGGAGACACTAAAAGTCATGACAGTTACTCATCTGCTGGAGGAGAGACTAAAAGTCATGACAGTTACTCATATGCCGGAGAGACTAAAAGTCATGACAGTTACTCATCTGCCGGAGAGACTAAAAGTCATGACAGTTACTCATCTGCTGGAGGAGAGACTAAAAGTCATGACAGTTACTCATCTGCCGGAGGAGAGACTAAAAGTCATGACAGTTACTCATCCGTTGAAGGACAGACTAAAAGCCATGACAGTTATTCATTTGCCGAAGAAGAGACTAAAAGTCCTAGCAGGTATTTATCTGTTGGGGAAGAGACCTCAAGTCCTGACATATATACATCTATTGCTGGAGAGACTAAAATTCATGACAGTTATACATCTGATGGAGGAGCAACTGGGCTTGACAGTTACATCGAAACAGAATCACTAATTTCCTTCAACATCAGAACAGCTGAAGGAGACTCTGTAATTACTGATAGCATAATAACAGTTAAAAGAGAGTCTCCAATTTCTGTCGATCATATATTAGATGAAGGGGAACCTCTAAGCATTAGCAGTTACACTCCGGGTGAAACAGAATCCCCGGTACCTGAAAGTCACACAACTAACGGAAGAAGATCCCCTACTCCTGCCACTGACACACCGGCAGATATAGAGTCCTTAGTTTCTGATCGTTTTAGTACTAGAGAAGGGGAGTCTCCAATCCCTAACAGTTACACTTCCATTGAAGAAGAGTTTTATGCCTCGGGCAGCCTCAGGCCTGATATGGAGGAGTCTTCAGACCCTGACGTTCATACACCATCCTCTGTACAATCTCTTGCACCTGGCAGTCGCATGTCCCTCGAGGATGA